AAGCAGATAGACGGAGCCAGATAGAGAACCCCAACCCCAAACCTCACATTCTCAACCACACGACCTTCTTCCCGGCAAAACGCACGCTTCAAGACAGTGCCAAGGTCATGGCGTCGGCGATATCGAAGCACACAAGGAGGAGACCTGGGCAACAGCAGCAGGAAGCACGGGAAAGCGACGAGGGATTGCAAACACTCCAGTCGGCAACCTACCTGCGCTCCTACCAGACCAAAGCCAAAGCAACCCGGGAAAAAGCCACACAACCCGACAACATCCCCACACCGGCCCCGGTCAGTGGCACCGGCATCGAGGGCGAATAGAGCCTGGTCGCAAGGGGAAAGGAGTTGGGTTGTGGCCGGCTATGGGGATCTAAGACTCCAGAATCTAGAAGAGTTTAGGGCCCAGGGCAGGGGCCAGCGGGCAGCAATCGACGAAAAGGAAAGAATCCCTCTTGCACAAGCGAAAACCAGCAGACAACCCCAACCAAATTAACTAAATACCCAAAAACTCAAAACTCCGGCACCTCCTCGTCGATGAAGTCGCCGCCGAGAGGCCCAGAAGAGCACCTGAAAAATTGTTCAAAAACAGTTTACGGGATTCAGCCCAACCCTAAACACCCTAAACTCAGATGGCATCCAGTTCCTAAACGGTCCTAACATCCTAACGCTCCGAACTGCAGTGAAACCAAGCCGGGCACAGTCACGCTGCCACCACCAGGAAAAGCTGACCTGAGTGGGTTTTGGGTTTAGGGTTTTATGATGGAGGGGTTCGGGCTTAGGGTTCTAGGGATTCTAGGGTTTAGGTAGTCAGGTATATAGTATAGTGTTTAAGATGCGGGCTTGTGGCTTTACGATTTTTAGTTTTAGGGTTAGGGTTTAAGGTTCCTTGAGCGCTTGTAGCGGTAGCGCAAAGTCCGACTTTCGGGCTTAGGGCAGTTTAAGGCTTAGGGCTTAGGGCAGTTTAAAATTTTAGAGATTAGGCTCAGGGTTCCAAGTTTAGGGTTTTAAGCGGCTGATACGAGTTACGGGTTTGGGGTGTTCTTCCCTGTCACGTGTTTGGCTTTCGGGCCTTAGGACTTTGGGGTTTTAGTGTTGTTGAAATTTCTTCAGGTTCAGGGTTCAAGACTCAAGGTTCAACATTATGGCATTATGGTGTTATGGCATATTAGGATCGGATGTCAGGGTTTACCACGCCATAAGACGATAAGATATTAGACTAGTGACTAGAGTGACTAGACTCGACTAGACAATGTTTAAGTCTTAAGTTTTAGACAATAAGAGAGGGAAGGTTTAAGGTTTAAGGGTTTAGGGTCAGGGATGCGCCCTCTCCGAAGTTCTCTCATGCGCCCTCTCCGCCCTGCCATGCATCACGACCTACGACCTATCTGCAGAAACGCCCTCTCCGACTCTCCGCAGGGCACTCGCAAGGCAGCCTAAGGGGAAAACCTAGTCAGGATTAAAGGAGGACCTTGGCCCTAGACCTAAATTAAACCAGAAAACCAGTCCACGTCCCCAGGGCTCCGACAAGACGAACGAGAAGGCGCCTGGCCTAAGCCAAAGCGCGGAAGGCAAGGCAGGGGTCGACAGGGAGCACAGGGCACTTGCAAAGACGAGCACAGGGCAGCGGGCCGGGCCAAACCGAAAGGGGGGCACAGGCAGCACAGAAAGACAAGACCGCAACCCGGAACCCCGACCCACACTGGCAGACAAGCGCGCACTCTGAGGGACTGGCCCAAACTCAGATTTAAGCTCAAAGCTTAGGCCTAGGCCTAGGCTTAGTCTAGGATTTTATGTCTGCGCATAGATGGCGTGATCGCCAATAATGAATTGCGTCCTCGGACTCATTTCTAATGGGGTATCTCAGAATCTAAGTTTCCCAATCTAAGATTCCCAATCTGATCTAAAAATCAAGCAATCTGAAATGATGTTGCATCGTGGAATATACCGAATGTACCGACCTACCGGTGCCGCATACAACATGATGCCATGACCATGAGAACTTGAGACTTGAGCAAGATTCGGACGACGGTCATTGATTCACACAGAAAGCTCAGCAGTCTGACGTGTCCGTATTCTCTCGCTCTCCACACTAACAATTAGTTTCTGCTGTCTGACCGAAGTATGTGACCTCTTGGTCCGAGGACCTGGCGCTCAGAGGTCCGAGCATCTGGAACACCAGCTTTGAAGGAAACAAATTGACGGGGAAAACCCAGAAAACCGAAAACTACCACCTCGTCACATGAGCATTCCAGAGCGAACATCTAGGCATCAAGGCACAAAGCATCGATAAATGCAACCAAGAAACTCAACCAAAAACATGATTTTGAACCGATTTGTGTTTGATTTTATTTCGATTTTTATTTGAATTTTATTTGAATTTTATTTGATTTATGATCGATGTTCCAGACCTACTGTCTTATTAGCAATCGAGGATCATAATTCTATAAGGGAATTAAGGAAGATGGCTTAAATCATATAGCGCTTCATATTAGGATTTGAGCCATACTTCCTTAATTCCCTATAGAACCCCTCTAGATCCCTTTTAAGGAACCCTTTAAGGAACCCCTAGGCCTTAAGATATATTCCTTAATTAAGGGGTATTGGGCTCTCTGGGCTGCTCCGAGGTTTCTAAGCTTTCTCTGCGCTGTGTTTAGGGTTGAGGCTTTAATTTAGGGTTGAAAATGTGCTTAATGAGAATAGGGTTCCTTAATGGGTCCTTAAAACGGGTCCGATGAGGGATACTATAAGGGTTACTATGGGTGTGTAGTTTAGGGGCTTGGAGGCCCAGGAACCTTAGTAAGTAGGTTCTAAGTAGGGTTCTTATTGGGGTAGCTCCATTTAGGGTAATTACTTATAACCCTTATTGAAACCCACTTACCAAGTCCTCTGGGCCTCTAAGTGCACTTCGGTTTAGGGTTGGGGGATGCTCGCGCGCTTGGTTTACAGGTTTAGAGTTTAAGATTTAGCTGTTCGTTTGTATGCCTAGTGGCTAGAACTGCTTAGAAGTGTAGAGTACCCCCTTTAGAACCATAGTAATAAACAACGTATGTCTAATATTCTCTTGGGTTTTATATGAACAAACATGAAAAGAATACCTAAGGAGACTATAGTGACACAAAGTCGAGATGGACGCTTAGGGCTTTGAGTTCGCCCTCAGCCCTAACCCTAAGGGTCCATGTACCTAAACAGTATATACTTTGGGCCCAATGCACCCATATAGGGACTACTTTAAGGCCAAAGTATAAAATTTTTGAATACATGGACCCTTAGGCTAAACCCTAAACCTCAAGCCGTTTCAGGTCGTGGGCTTAGGCTCAGAGTATCCAGATGTAGGGTTTGGGGTTGAGCCCTCACAAAAAAGGGAGAATTGTCACGCGGCTCAAACCCAAAACCCCTAACCTAAACCGCTAAACCCCTAGAGCCCTCAACCCTGAAACAAACCCTAAACCTCTAAACCCTAAACCCTTAAACCGTAAACCCTACCCTGAACCCTAAATCCTAAATCCCTGAACCCTTGTGACCCCTATACCCTAATAAACCCCTAAATCCCTGAACCCCTATACCCTAAGCCGGTGAACCGTAAACCTCTAAAACCCTTAAACCCTAAACACCAAAACGCCTGGCAACTTGGGCTCAGGGTTGGAGGTTGCACGATAGGAAGACCCGAAGGTTCGAGCTAAGGAATGCTGCCGATAAGGGCTCCCTTAAGGGCTCCTTCGGTACTGCAGGACTCTCTACTTGGAGGTTCATGGGTAGTTCTAAGCGCGCTTGTTAAGTCCTCTAATATGGGCTATAACTATAGTAACCCTACTTAGGGCCCTATAACTTCCCATGAACCCTAAACCCTACACCCTCATCGAACCCCTATAGATCCCTCTGAAGGAGCCCTATAAACTTGTACTTGCAACTTCCCATGAACCTCCAAGCAGTGGGGTCCCCCTTAAGGGCCCAGTTCTGAGTCTTCAAGCGAACCCAACAGAACACGGAACAACAGGTACGACTGTGGGATATCCTTATAGTAACCCTTACAAGACCCGTTTGAAGGAACCCTGTCCTAATTATTACAGCCCCTTACTAGTTCATGGTTGGGATAGGATTAAAAATCTATATTTTTATTCCTTATTGGGTTTAAGTACACAATAAAAATGTAAATGTTACCCAACCATGACAAAGGATAGGGTTTAGGGTTTAGGGTTTCATCCCCATGGTGGGCCTTAGGCCAGAAGTTGGACAACCCAACCTCAGGGGAAAGCCTTTCAGGGTTTCGGGCTTAGGGCTGAGCCCAAGAATCGGGCACCGGAGTGCAAGACAGTACTTGGAGGTCCATGGGCAGTTGTAAGTAGGGTGATAGGTCCCCTGGGTTATAACTATACTTATCCTACTTATAATCTCACTCATAACTACCCATGAACCTCCAAGTCGTACTGTGGATCAGCGGTTCCTTAAGGAACGAGGTCTAAGGGAGATATGTATGCGACCTTGCGATCCCCTCGTCTCCCTGGAACCCTAAAGTTCCTCAAGGATCCCTGGTACCCTCTGACCTTGAGCCACTCTTCTTCACTTAAGGGTCGCTAAAAAAAGCTCTATCTCTAAGGGTCCACGTACCCAGCAAGTATATACCTAGGCCCCAAAGTACCTGTGTAGGGAAATTAACGGCCAAAGTATATACTATTTGGGTACGTGGACCCTTAGGGTATATGTAATGTTAAACTCAAACCTTATTTCAAAGCGCCCTTCCTGTACTTGGAGGTTCATGGGCAGTTATAAGGAGGGGTATAAGTAGGACAACTATAGTTGTAACCCATATTAGGGGACCTACAACCCCACTTATACAACCCCACTTATAACTACCCATGAACCTTCCTGTAGGCTTGATTATTATAGTACCCTTATCATTGAGCCCTTATAATAACCCTTATAGACCCCTTTAAAGGAACCCTAAGAAAGGCCCAGGGTTTCTTAATCGGGTTCCTTCCCGTAGGCTTGACATCTTCAAGCTGCCGGAGGGAACGCTTGTCAGGCGGTTGTGCTGCAGGAAAAGCTCCTACTGGTCGAACCCGCCATATGGGAGTTTCCGGGCCACACCGTAGGGTTCCTTTAAAGGGTGACTACAAGGGTACTATAAAGGGTGTAGGGTTTCCGAATATTGGGGGACCCTCGTTTTTTTGGGGTCCTCATAGTAAGGATCCTCCTATTTAGGGTACCATGTTAGGGTCCCCTATTTTCGGAAAGCCCCATACTTGTCGATACTAACCATGGAACTAGGTACCCTAGAAAGGGGGTAGGGTATGAGTCTATTGGTAATATAGGGGCCCTCATAAAACATGCAAAACCCCAAACCCCAAACATTTGTACAGGGTTGAGGGTTTAGGTTGCTGTTTTAAACATCCTCAACCCGAAACCCTAGACCCTAATCATCGTTAGTATAGAGTTCGAATTGAATTCGAGGTCTCCGTTTTCAAAGGAATCAACAGCGTCCGATGACTGCGAACGGGAAGAGGCCAACCAAGAAACTTATCCAGGGCGGGGAAGCGGCGAGGTCGCGGTCGTGGTGCTCCCATAAGCCGGGGTCTCGATGCAGTGCCACCGCGCCTACGGCGAAGAGCTGCGCCCACTGCCGTCCTTGCTTGGAAGCTCCGTGTGCGCCTCCAAGCACAGCAAGCAAATAGCGGCTTCTCGTCTGAGCTTTCGCACGTTTTCAGGGGCTAGCCGGTTTGTCTGCCGGCGCCTTTGCCAAGCTGGTTGCGGGAGGCTCCTCCTCCGTTCCGGCTGCTGCTGATGATGCTGGCCGCGGTGCTGCTGTTCCCCCGGCGCCGTGTGGCTCAAGACCCTAGACACGCACATCGGAGCTTAGGTACTTTAAGGACGTTGACACTTCGAACGGAGCTCGTTTAACGGTTCCTTCTGAAAGGATCGTCAAGGGTCACCATAAGTCAATGTGGATTACTGTGAACTATAAATGTTAATGTAAGGTCTAATTATCTGGTTTCTAGAGCAGGGTTCGGGAGCGCATTGTAGTAATTATAAATTACTAGAACGGGAAAGCCTGGAGAGCAGAACTACTTACCAAACTAATAGCCTTAAGCCCTACACCCTAAACCTCAACCCTAAGCCTAAACCTGCGGTGTTCGAACGTCACGGTGCATAGGATCTATATTGCACACAGATGGGGGGAGGAACCCAAAAATCCATGCACTCGGGAGCCCCAGAACAACTTGACAGTCACAACTCCGGTAAAGGGTTGAGCCCTTCAAGTTTTGGGTTGGAGCTTTAGGGTTTAGGGTTTAGGGGTTTAGGGTTTAGGGGTGTAGGGTTTAGGGTTTTAGGGGTTTAGGGTTTAGGGCTTTAGGGTTTAGGGTTTAGGGGTTTAGGGCTTTAGGGTTTTAGGGTTTAGGGTTTTGGGGTTTTGGGCTTCAGGGTTTAGGGTAGACGGTATATTGCAGCAGGCCCTTAACCTAATAACGCTCCAGATCTCTAAAGAGGAACCCTAAATCCACCAAAGAAATCCTGAGCCGAAAGCCCGAAAAGACAAAAGCTCCTCCAAGTTCTTGAGAGACAAGATAGCTTCCCTGAGCTGGGCTCTTGTTACGGTACCCCTTTTTTCCTACCGTTTTGGGAGTTTCCGAAAACACGGGGTACCTGGCTTTGGGGCTCTTATTAAGGATCCTACGATTTAGGGCTCCCTATTTTCGGAAATTCCCATTTGGCTTTAAGAAGAGAACCTTGGTCCTAGGAACCTGGCAACCCTAAAAAGAAAGGGGCAAACGGCTACTACTGGGGAACCTAATGTAACTGCTGATGATCTAAATCCTGCATCACCTTCAGAACCCTAGACTATGGGAATTATGGTATATTCCTTATTATGGGTAATGCAGGATTTATATCATCAACCGAAGTAATTAACCCAGTACCCAGAGAGCCCCATGCCCCTCAAGTAAGGAATATGGCTTAAACTACATTATAGTGCTTCATATTTATGGGTTAAGCTATATTCCTCAGTGAAGGGGTACTGGGCTCTCTGGGTATAGGGATCTGTAGTAAGTGATACGGCTTGCATCTTCCCAAGGTCCCATTGGCAACTTAAATCGGAACCAACAAGGAGGCGGGCATTGGTGGAATCATCGATATTCGGGTCTATACTGGGTGGAGTTTCATTTCGGTTCTTTTTGTTTTGGCCAATATTTTTTTGGTTGGCTGGTTTCCTTGCATTCCTGCCTTCCTTGTTTTGGTACTTATTCTTTTAAATTTTGCCTGGCAGTTTTCGCTCGCTTCCTGCCTTTGTCATTGGTACCATGTGCGGTAAAAGAGGACGCGGGGAGGTGAGACAAAGGCAGCAAAAGGAGGAACACCGGCAACAACAAAACCACGGCCCCTTCAAAAAAAGACCGAACGATACACGGCCTCATCTATAGAACCCATGCAGAAAAATTATAGAGCCCTTAAAGGGGCATATAAGCCCCCTCTATATTAACGGGGTTGCTTTGAGGAATACTATAAGGGTACTATAATGTAGTTCTCGGCCAAGAGTTTAGGGTTTAGGATTTAAGGCTTAGGGTTTCAGGGTTCAGGGTTTCAGGTTAGGTGGCGTTCAATGTTTGAGGGATCAGTGTTTTAGGGTTTGGGGTTTAAGTTGTACCCCTTTTAAGTTGTACGTCTGGTTGGGGTCACGAAGGTTCATAGTGGCAAAACTCCGTGAACGCTGAACATCTGAAAACTCTGCTAGAAGCCCTTGCAAATGTTTGGGGGTTTGGGGTTTGGCTTTGGCGTGTAAAGGGAAGGCCCCAAAATACCAAATCCATCCTAAACTCCCTAAACCCCAAGCCCACCTTATACCAAACCATTGCAGACTCTCGGAAAATGATGGCCGGTTGTACGAGCCAAGACAAGACCGTGCTCAAGCCTTCCGTCCCTGCATCCTTGCGGGGACCATGACCATCAGAATTTGTTGCAAGTAAGGAGCACCATGATCATGGACCTGACATTAAGGGCCTGCGTAATGCCTGAACCGAAACTGTCTGTGACACAGCGCAGCCACGCATCGGAAATTCATCGAATTGGTTGTTCGCCAAGTTGAGCTTCCTGCTCTGCTGGGAGGCTGTGCATAAACTGGGCTTTTAAGTAACCAGGGAGAAAAAGTATAAACTCTTATTTCATAATGGTTCCTTTGAGAAAAACTTATTAAAGTGTGGTACTCCATAGCCCGGTAAAGGCTTCACGCGAAAGGTATCCCTGAGCTTCTTCAACTCAAACCTGAACCACAATGCCCCTAAAGAAAACCCGCAACAGCAATAACAAGCCCCTGTAAAAGCCTGGCAAACCCACTATAACCCACCCTGAAACCCATATACAAAGCCATACAATAAAATGCTGTAGCACCCTAAACCCTGAACCTAAGTACCTGTAGTGACGACGTCCTCAAGCTCCGCATGCCCGAGAAGGTCGCGGGGAGTGTCTGCAGCCTCCGCAAACAATGGCAAGCCATGAGATTTCCCAAAATCGGTGGATGCATACATATATACAGATAGTAATAGATACAGATATGAAACATGTCGTGTGTGTGACTTTTTGTTTGCAAGTTAGATGTATGGCTCTATATGGTTTAAGTATCATGTGCTTGTTTGTTTGTCTGTCTCTTCATGTGTCGTTTGCTACTGCATTACCTGGTCTTCTTGCGTTGCATGCTCGCTGCTTGTAGATGCATCCACGTGTTTCTCAACTTGTTCATCTATCCACCTATGTGACGAACTAGACTATCGCTCTGGCTTTGCTCGTCCATCTTGTATCCAAGGGTAAAAGGCGGGACCCTTAATAAGGACCCCTAGGTATACACCCTTAATATAGCTATTATATACCCATTATATACCCTTAATATAGCCATTATATACCCATTATATATGGCCCATTAGAGGGGCCCAGGGTCCCCATTAAGGGTCCCTCCTGTTCCCCTTTGAACCCCCAAAACCCCTAAACCCTAAACCCTATACCCTTATAGAATCCCTATAGATCCCTTTAAAGGGACCCTTCTTTTCCCCTTTGATTGTAACTACCCACAAACCTCACAGTCGATGCCCTAAAAGCCTATAAATACGCCCTTAGCACGCAGCAAAGCCATCCTCGGACTCGCAATATGGGGCCGGAATAACTACCAATTGTGTCCCCTCATTATAGTCCCCCAAGTAATGACACTAGTATACATGTAGGATGTACTGCAACACCGCGACCAGAGACCCCCCCCCAAAAAAAAAACGAAACCGCACAGTGAACGCCTTTGACAAGCCCTGGTGATGCCACATCCGAAGGATCCGGAACCTTAGAAAGTTGGAGGATCTAGGTCGGTTTAGGGTTCGAGTTTAGGGTTGAGGGCTTAGTTTAAGAACTTAGACGATCAGAGGATCTAGAAAGTTTGTTTATAGGTCGGTTTAGGGTTTAAGGTTAGGGTTTAGGGTTTAGTCTAAGGACTCAGAGGATCCGAGGTAACTCTAACATGGGTTTAGGGTTTAGGGTGTAGGGTAACCATAACACTTGCAACTAAGTTTAAGATCTATAACTATAACATACTACAGCAGTACCTAGAACCTTGCTTGCTGACCGTCTAAGCAATGATCCCTGGCTAAGCCCTGGCTGTGCCCGATCCTCTGCTTCAGACCCCAAGCCCCTACGTAAAGCACATACATGGGTGATTTTCAAAATTATGGTCCCTTTTTGGGTCCCTGTTATGATACTGCACCTGGTACTTAGGGTTCCCAAAAATTGGGACCCCAATTTTGACAACTGCCCCCCGCATCTTGGAGACCTTGGAGATCTTCGAGGCCTTTGGAAGGCACCAGGTCCCGAACTTGAACATGCCGTTTTCGCTTCAGGGAGGCTTTCGTTTCGCTCCCCATGTTGATCTCATCATCAGCCTTTGGCATGTCGCTGGGGACCACGATCTTGGGGATCACTCGTTTTGGCAAATCCTGCTTCTTGTGGTTTCCTCGAACACCAAAAAGTTGCACGAACTTTTTCTGTGTTCGGATCGCGTCTTCGGACGGCTGGAGAACTGCAGCGCTGGAGACATCCGCTTGAGTATCAGCGACAAAGCGGGATGGCTCGAGACCATCGAGTCGCACCTTGACCATAGACCTCAGATGTCACAATGACAATGAACCAGAGCTGGATCTACACATATAGGACTCACTCTGTCTTCACAATGCCACTGAAGACCCCACTGGATGTGCTGCAGCGAAGTCGATTTCTTGCGGCCGTCTGTATACATCTGCACGGTGGAAAAGTTTTGTTCCACTTCGCCAGTGCACTCCGCACCCTCTATCCAAAACACAGAAACGTTGCAAACCTTGCTAAACCCATGTAACTCCTTACAAACCCTTACCTTGTGAAAAATGAAAAACCCTGAATGACTCTAATGTGTGAGCCTTAATAATTAGAACAGTGGTTTTTGGCCAAACTATACTATTACTATAGTAGGGAACCCTAGGAATAATATTTACCACATGATAAGCCCTAAGCGCTAAACCCCAAAACCCAAAACCCCCAAACCAAAAAACCCTAAACCTTGAACCCCAAAACACCAAAACCCTAAACCCCAAAACCCTAAACCCCAAAACCCCAAAACCCTAAACCCTTAAACCCTAAAACCCTCAACCTTGAACCCCAAAACCCAAAACCCTAAACACTGAACCCCAAAACCCCAGCCCTTGAACCCCAAAACCCTAAATGGCTCACACTTGGAGGTTCATGGGTAGTTATAAGTGGCTAATATGGGTTATATCTATAGCTATCCTACTTGTAACCCCACTTATAACTACCCATGAACCTCCAAGCAGCACCGAGCCTGTTGGCTCCCAGGGAAAGCTCTTTCAACTCGAGTTTGGCGAGGCAGCTGGGCACCTGAGGCTGTCCGGGCCTTTAAAGTTTAGGGTTTTGGGGTTTAGGGCATTTAGGGCTTAGGGTTTGGGGTTTGGGGTTTAAGGCATTTAGGGCTTAGGGTTTGGGGTTTGGGGTTTAAAGCATTTAGGGCTTAGGGTTTGGGGTTTGGGGTTTAAGGCATTTAGGGCTTAGGGTTTGGGGTTTGGGGTTTAAAGCATTTAGGGCTTAGGGTTTGGGGTTTGGGGTTTAAGGCATTTAGGGCTTAGGGTTTGGGGTTTGGGGTTTAAAGCATTTAGGGCTTAGGGTTTGGGGTTTAGGGATTGGGGTTTAGGGTTTAGGGTATTTAGGGTTCGGGGGTTAGGGTTTAGGGTTTGGGGTTTAGGGCATTTAGGGTTTAGGCTTTACCTGGACCCCAAAGAAACTACCCTTTTAAGGAGTCTATGTAAGGAAATCATTGAGGAACCCTGAAAAGGAAGGTGTTATCGGGTCCAGGTGGGGTTTAGGCATTGTGAAAGGTTTTAGGATGGCTTCGCTAAGGGCTCTAGAAGGGTTGAGGGTTAAAGGCTTGTAAGAGAGAAAGGCCTCTTGGGTGTTGAAGGTTTAGGTTTTGGGGGTCTTGGGGATTCTATGGCTCCATGGGGTTTAGGATGTAGGGCCTCTTACTAGGGTTTCAGGGCTAGTGTTCTTGCAACCTACAACTGCTTGGAGACTAAATGCAATCGAAACCTAATGTCTTTCCTTTTCGAGGCCCTCGACCCTTGTGAGGTTGCGATGTGAGGAATGTTCTTACGGAACAATCTTCCTCCGCAGCTCTCATCATTCTGTGAGGATTTGATTTGAGGATGCTTTTTACGGAACAGCGCCCAAAGAATTACGGAATGCACCCTACTGACGCAAAGAAACGCGAAAAGCCTTGAATACAAATCCCAACCTAAATCGCCTGACTCCGATAGAACCGTGTACAAACGTCTGATGGGGCTTTGGAGTGCCCGGGCCCCCGCAACCCTAAAACTTGCCCCTAATAGTACCCTACTCTAAAGCCTAAACCCTAAAACCATAAAGCCTAAAATCCTAAAACCTTAGTACCCTAAAACCTGAAACCCAAGAAGCCACAGAAATAAAAGGCTAAACTTTCCGATTCCTGCTAAACTGGGTTTAGGGGTTTAGGGTTTAGGCCTCCTAAACTACAAGAGCCCAACAAATGTAAAGGTGGCATATGGGAGTTTCCGAAAATTAGGGGTACCTTATTTGGGGGCCCTTATAATAAGGATCCTACTATTTAGGGTGCTATATAAGGGTCCCCTATTTTCGGAAACTCTAAACCCTAAACCCTCTATAGAACCCTTATGGATCCCTTTAAAGGAACCCTTATAGATCCCTCTAAAACTACAAGAACCCAAAAAGACTAAAGGTTGCACAACTCTAAACTCTAAACCCTAAACCCTTTATAGAACCCTTATAGTAACCCTTTAAAGGACCCCCAAATGAGGTGCCCCTAATTTTCGGAAACTTCGGGCACTGAAGTGCAAGGCCAGTCGCCGACTGCAAGCCGCTGCCCGTCAGCTGCAGCAGCCTGGGGGGCAGCAAGCGGAAGGTTTTTCAAAGGGGAACAGGAGGGATCCGTTAAGGGTCCCTTTAAAGGGATCTATAGGGATTCTAGAAGGGTATAGGGTTTAGGGTTCCTTTAAAGGGATCTATAGGGATTCTATAAGGGTATAGGGTTTAGGGTTTAGGGGTTTGGGGTTTTGGGGGTTCAAAGGGGAACAGGAGGGACCCTTAATGGGGACCCTGCGACCCTATAATGGGCTATATAATGGCTAGATTAAGGGTATATTACCTAGGGGTCCTTGTTAAGGGTCCCTCCTTTTACCCTTGGAGTTTTAGATGTACACCCAGAGGGTCCATATATACTACCCTTATGGTATTGGGTACCAGGAGAGCATTCTCAGGGCTATGGGAGGGCTGTCGGTTAAAGCCTAGGTTTTGGGCTTTAAATGGCTTGAGGCTTTAGGACCTAAGGTTGTAGGTTAATGTGAGTATGAAGAACAGTGGGCAATCTGCAGAGCCTAAGGCAAGCTAGGCATCAGGTTAAAGCTTACGGTGTAAGAGTTCAGGGTGACAGAGGTTGAGGCATTAAGGGCGAGAGTATCCTGTTTTTGGTTGCTTAGGATTTCAGGTTTGGGACTTGTATGGGTTCGGAAGTAGGTTTTAGGGTTCAGGGTTTAGAAGACTGGTTAGGCATCCTGACTCTTGGGAGGGTCTCGAAAGCAGAACCCCTACTTTGGAACCCTATAGTACTGAAGAGTTCTTGGTAGGAATCTGCACTGAGGGTTCATACTTGGAGGGTCGGGGGACTTAGTAACTGGTTATTTTAAGGACTTATAAGTACCATAACCCCAATTAGGGTCCCTTTTAGGGTACTTATAAGTCTACTTACTACCTAATTACTAAGTCCCCCGACCCTCCAAGTAGCTCCAGACTTCAGGGCTTTGAGGGCTTGGGGGTCCACCTCTCTGTCCCACAGGGTGCCCTCCACTGCGTTCGGCAAGCCTCGCTTGGGCTTGGCCTTGACTTTTGGCCTCGATGTAGACTAGGATACCCAGTAACCTAAGAATAAAAAGGCCTCCCTTTTTGGTATTGGGTAACTTTATAAGGAACCTAGGACTACAAAAAGGGAATAAGGGTAGTACTGGGCATCCTAGTAGAGGAAGCAGCGGTCGGGTCGGAGTCCTTTGAGGCCGCAGACTCCCTAGCCTCTGGCGGGGAAGACTCATCTGGTCCGGCTCTGTCTTCCTTTTCCTTCTTGCCAGATCTGTCGAGCCGCGCCCGTCAAGGCCGGTGGCGTCTGCGGAACCATGTTCGCCACCGCCATGGCGCGTTCGCGCCGATTGGTATCCGATTGGTAATCGGCAGCATTATAATATACAGGTCTTAATTTGATGTTGCACGTACATCTGTGATGCCTGCCATCTGCTGCCAGCGCCTTTGGGTCCGTTGCCGGGGGGGAGCGGAATGCTTGTGCCTCCCGACCCGACCTCTGGTCCAGGAAGGAATATGAGCATGAAAGCCGAGGAACCCCCGACGAAACCGTGGTCTTTGGGCAGGCGCAGCTGGTTGGCCTCACCCAGGTTTGGATTCGGATGAACGTCGCGACGAACACCTCCCACCGCTCGGCGAGCTCCGACCAAACCCTAACCCCCAATCCCTAGCCTTTAACCCCTAGACCCTAACCCCTAAACCCTATACCCCAAACACTGACTCGGACGTTTCATTATTAAGAACCCAGGGCCTGACTATCTTAGCACCCTAAATAATAGGATCCTTATTATAAGGACCCCCAAATAAGGTACCCCTAAATTTTCGGAAACTCCCATATGCCACCTTTTTTTTTTTTTTCTTGCTCTTCTGGTTTAGTAGGCCTAAACCCTAAACTCGTAGGAATCGGAAAGCTTCTGGCGTCATCCTGCAGATCGGGGGATGGTATCTATACCCCCCCTTAGAACCATAATAAACATAGTATTTCTTAATCTTCTCTTGGGCTTTGTATGAACAAAAATAAAAAAAACCTAAGGAGACTATAAGTTGAGGGTTGAGGGTTTAGAGTCAGATGAGAACCTGACAACTTCCGTAGCTGCTTGAACTTTCAATCCCCAGCTCTGAAAGCCAAAGCCTGGGACTAAGCTACAGTCCTAAGTGGGTGGTGGTCAAAAATTAGCGTCCCCCGTATATTATAGTATATAGTATGGTATATAGTATAGTGGAGTGTCGTATAGTATAGGGTAGTATAGTATGTATTTATGGGTGGTGGTCAAAATTAGGGTCCCTTTTTGGGTCCCTAATATAATATGGCACCTATTATTTCGGGTACCCAAAAAAGGGACCCTAATTTTGACAACCACCCAAGTAAATCTACACACCAAACTTTGATCCTTACTGCCCAAACCGAAACCCTAAATCCGGAGAAACGAACCCTGCACCCGACACAGTGAATCTCACACATGGAAACGAGAGTTCGACCCGGAAAAATCCAAGACCCAGCGACCCCTGCCCACCCTTAAAGGCCCTAACGCATACAGTAGAAGCCAGAAAGTTGGAACATGGCTTTAGGAGGATTAGTGCTAGGATCCCTTATACTTTACCTTAAGGGCATGAGGAGTCTGATGTTCCAACTTTCTGGCTTCTACTATAAGAGTCCGACTCTCTTCCACTTTGGGAGTCTTTCACTTAGTCGTGCAGTCTCCTAATAAAGCCTGAAATCCGAAACCCAAGCCCTGAATTCTGCAACCTTTAACCCTGGCCCTGGAGCCACAATCCGGAGAGCCTAAACCCTGAACCAAAACCTGAAAAACGTTGTAGTACCCCCATACATCCGCTAGAGAAAGGGCCCGCTTGACGGAACCCGATCACAACCTTGGCCGTAAAGCCACAAAAATCTCCGCTCCCAAGCAGCTCGAGTTGCACGAAGTTGCACAGCTCGCTCGGAACGGCAGGGACGTCCCCTGGCCACGGTCCCATCGCCGGTGTAAGGTTTGGGTCTTCGGAACCCTACTTGTCGGGTACCACGGGGAACTGAAGGTTAACCTTTTTGATTATCTGTAACCCCGCAACCTTAACCGTAAACCCCGAACCAACCCGATTCGCGAGCTGACCAGCTATTCAAGCCCCTCTGGTCCTACTTATCCAGTATCCTGGAACACTGCAGGCGAACCTTTGGGAGTATATTGGCACTATGTAAGGAACCCCAAGGGTCCAAAGGACCCAATAATTAGGTACTCGGTTTTAGGATATTACTTATGTAGGTTAGGATTTTGGAGAGTATATGATTATTGGGTACTTAGACCCTTGGGGGATCTACGGTTGATGATATAAATCCTGCACTACCCATAATAAGGAATATACCATAATTCCCATAGTTTAGGGTCCTTAAGGTAATGCAGGATTTATATCATCAACAGTAGTACCCCAAAAGGGGTTAGGTTACCTACTCTACCACTGAACCCCCAAACCCCTGAACCCTAAAACCCTGGCCTCTGAATACCTATAGGCCCCAAATCGGTACGTCTCTGCAAAGTTTCTTACTTCCCCAATAAGCCACAGAAATAAAAGGTTAAACTTTCCGATTCCTACTAAACTTACTAAACTATAAGATCCCGAAAAGTTTAAAGGTTAGGTATTGGGGATCTAAGTTTTCCTGCCTTGCAGCCAAGAGATGCGAAGCTGCTTGAGACTTCGCAGCTCGGGCCAGTCAAAGAGGGACTTCAGGACGACGTCGTCCGAGAGACTGGAGTCCTTGCCTAGTTAGGGGTGTAGAGGGGTTTAGGGGCTAGGGCGGCTAGGGGTTTAGGGTTGGGGGTTTAGGGTTCAGGGGTTTGGGGCCTGGGGTTTAGGGGTTAGGGGTTCAGGGTTTAGGGGTTTGGGGGATTTAGGGTGTAGGGCTTGCAGGGTCCGATAAAGTTTGCGGTTAAGGGCTTTTGAAACTGTCAACCCCCGTCCTTAAGCAACATACCCCGCACTGTGGAGGAACTCTAAATTTTGCATACGGGCTTGCTAGGAAGGAGCTTCGTTACGGGAGTTGGAAAGGTTTCTAAGTCAGGGTTTTCCAGCTCTTCTGCCCAGACCCCTTGGGGGGGATCCAAAACCTACATTCCGCCACGGCGTTCCGATAAAATACCCTGTCGTAGTACAGGTCACAAATTGGGTCGACTTTTTCTATAATTCCCGGAGTCTGGGTCTGTGGTTTGCTGGGTTCCCCAGTAGCCGCCAAATAGGAAGGTATCATACGGGAATCCAAAAAAAGGGCAGAAGAGTAATTATTATTGAGGAACCTTGTTTAGACTGGCTTCAAGGAGCTCTGAATGAGGACCAAGAACCTCCAAGTAGGGCTTCAGGGGTTGAGGGGGTGCTGCGTGACGTCCAGTCTCTCCACTGCGATGATGTGGCCCTGGCGTATCTGGCAGAGGCTTATAGCGCTGTACAGGCACAGGTGCTTCGCACTGCTTCTTCCACCACCTCTTCCGCTTCAGTCCTGTGGACCCTCGCTTCTTATATTCCTCGATGAGGACCCCTAGGTATATACCCCTAATATAGCTATGGTATACCCATTATATAGCCCATTATAGGGTAGGGGTCCCCATTAAGGGTACCTCCTTTTCCCCTTTGATGTAGCTTGGCTTTCTCACCTCACCAGCGGCACCGGTTGCTCTCGTCGCACCGGCCCTGGTGGGGCTCCTTCCGGAGTGTCCGAAGTATGAACCCCGAGAGCCCAATACCCCTTAAGTAAGAAATACCTAGGGCTCCCTGAAGGGATCTTTAAGGGATCTATGGGCTTAGGGTTTGGAGGATTCTAATTCCCCGGAATTAAGGAATATAGCTTAAATCATAAAAATGAAGCCCTATATGATTCAATCCATCAGCCTGGATTCCTGTAACACCAATGGGCGACTGAGTCGTAGTATCCATGCCTGTGACGAGTTCGGGTAGGGGGTCCTGTAAAAGGGGTCTACCGGGTTTTGATGAAGGGTACTATACTAGGTGTCGATTTCAACAGTCCCCAAAACTATGTATGATTAGGGCTTTACATTAAGAAAATTTACCAAATTATCCCAAACCCATACCTAGTATAAGATTTGTTGGTGGAAGCCAGGAGCTCGCAACCCTTCGTAGAATTCGGAGCCCTGACAATCAGGACAGGGTTCGGGGGGGCGATGAGACCATAATCACTAGGATACCCAGTAACCTAAGAATAAAAAGGCATCTCTTTTTGGTATTGGGTAACTTTATAAGGAACCTAGGACTACAAAAAGGGAATAAGGGTACTACTGGGCATCCTAGATCATAATCAGCTGCCCTAGGCAACCCTGCTTGCGTAGTGTAAACAAGATAAGGAAACCCCATAAATAGTACATATTGAATGCAACACCGAAACCTTACACTAGTATGACTCTTCAATAAACTACGGCTTCTATGGTACACTTAGAACCTTAAACCCCTACACCCTAAACCCCTAAACCCCCAAACCCTAAACCCTAAACCCTAAACTCAGAACTTCGACAACTGGAGAGTCTCCGTCGAGGTGCCATGTCTCGCAGCTGCTTCATCTCGAGAGTGAGTTCCGTGGGTTGGCCGTCCTCGGGTTTAGGATTTACTTTCAATATCTGGACCCTAAGGAGCCTACCTTTTTGGGGTTCCCTACTACGATTTCTTTGTATAAGTCCTGAAAAAGGTAGGTTCCTTAGGGTCCAGGTATATTAACTTTAAACTACCATAACCTACTTCCTGCTAGGCTCTTAGTAATTTGCTATATTAAATTTAAACTACCATAACCTGCTCCCTGCCAGGCTCTTAGGAATTTACTCTATTCTTTCGTAAACTACCATAACCTACTCCCTTGCGAACTTTACCAGAAAAGGGATCTCTCGGAAGTTATGAGTGCCCCAAAGACTTTAAAGGTTGCCTACTCAAAACAAGGTGATGTTAGAGTTCAAGGCTTATGGGCCAGGGTGGGGGTTGAGGATTGTGGGTTCCGGTGTTACAGCTTGAGATTCGGGTGAAGGGTATATGGGAGTTAGGGTTAGGGGGCCCCTCGGGGATAAAGACCCTCTCAATGAGGTCCCTTTTAAGCGAGCCAGAAGTAGGGTTCAGAAGGGGTACCCTTCAAGGGGTCTCTCAAATAATACTACCTAGTATAGGGATTTCGGCTTCGGTGGTTTATGCAACAAAGACTTGCGGGCTCTATACCTTCTGGTCCCGCTCGGGGTGTGAACATGAGCTACACTTCCGAAACCCAGTCGGAAGACTGCTACCCCCGTACACAGGAGTGCGTGTCGGAGGTTTACTGTTCCGCCGAACTACCCAATCAACCCTCTTGCGGAAGTCATAGAGACCCTACCCAAACGGTAGGCCATGGCAGGTGCCATATGCTTCGAGCTCGCGATAAAGAAGTGACACGCCTTAGCACATTATTCAAACGCCTAAACCATGAACCCCTTGGCCTGCACCCCTAACCCCGAAACCAATAAATCTCACACCCGAAACTCTAAAATACTGCAGTACCCTTATAGGTGCCTTAAAGGGTCCCAGAAAGATCCCTTAAAGGAACCCTCGAATGAACCCCTAAAGCAAGCCTTAACAGAAACATATGGGTGGTTGTCAAAATTATGGTCACAAGGGGTCCCTGATATAGTACGGCACCTAATATGTAAGGTACCCAAAAAGGGACCATAACTTTTGACAACCACACACATAAAACCTACCCCCTCAAGCTTGAAAGGTCTGCAGCCGAGTCACATTGCAGCGAAGCTCCCTGGCTCCGCAGCCTCCAAAGTTCGGAAGTACAGAAGACCCCCGTTACAGCGGCTTTCGGAATTAGTTTACTTGGAGGTTCCTTGGTAGTTGTAAGTGGGGTTATACGTCCCCGAATGTGGGTGATATCTATAGTTATCCTACTTCTAACCCGACTTATAACTACCCATAAACCTCCAAGCAGGGTTTTATTGAAGATTTTGCAGGTTTGGGGTTTCGGGGTTTAGGTTGCGGAGGGCCTGGTTCTGGATTCGGGAATCATAACAAGGTCTTCTTTGCAGCCACTGGTTTGACATGAACACATTTTACTGTGATCATCAGTGTGACACATTGCGCCAAACACCTGAGGAAGCAGCCTCGATGATGAGTATACATTTCGTGCGTATGCAATCTGTGCCTATCCGGCGTAATGCTCCTATATAAACATTTGCAAACTACGTTGGTGTCTCTGCTAGGCCCAAACAAGCTTGTCAGTTCAACTTCATGCAAGCGATGCCAGAAGTTTACATCTTTGCCCACAACAAGTCTTGTCCCGGAACAGTGAGCAACACATGCAAACCCACACAGTAGCATTGCGGGCCATGCACCATGATTCGTGCGGATATGCGACCCGACATGGCACGTACGTCACCATATTTGTTGTTGGGGGTTGGGGCTGAACTTGGGTTTGAGGCTTGGCGCCTTACGTACATGTAGAACTTGGAACTATTACATTCGTCCTGCACCTCTGGTTTGAGACATTTGAGACATGGGAAACAGCAGAACGTTGCTTTACGATTCTGCTGCCAGTAGCGCAAAGCTGCTTTGCCGCGCCAAACAAAAGCATTCCCGTGAGTTTCTGTGGCTGGGGGCTTGTGTGATATCAACGAAAAACATTGCTAACCACCGCTATCCACCACCTGTGAACACAGGAGTAGAAGCTGCCAACAAAACTCGAAAAACCGACGACCTTATCCACTCATGTTGTGCTTTCTGACACATGAAGCAGATTTCCCAGCAACAGCTGCTCATGAAATTATGTTGAGGGGCGAGCGGGAGTTGCTATACACGATCGCAGATTGCTTGGGACAGCTGCGAAGTGACACCTTTTGACGTGACGTCTAAAACTTTCAAAACCCACTCAGGCGAACAGCTCAATCAAAGCGAACATGGACTCTGTAGTATTACCATGGTGTTTTAATCCAGACGGGTAGGCTTCTGGGTTGCAGCACACCGGTAAACCTTGCACCATGCACCAGCGATCAGGCATCGAGATTCGACATTGACCTCGCACTCAGCACGCGGCTACCCGTCTCAAACGACAGTATTGCCATGGCTTTTCGAAAAGCTATGCGCTTGCTCACATACCATGCATACTGAAGAGTAGCTATATGCAGGTCTCGTAAGCAGAGTACCACAAGTCTCAACGCTGTCTATGAGGCTTTTTGTGACGTCGTTACAGGTAGTGATAGGGCTTAGTATAGAGGCCTCAAACTAGGGTCTTCAAGTTGCTCTACTCTGCATGCAGTCAGGAACCCTGAGGAATGGCACTACATGGTACTACTTGGAGGTTCATGGGTAGTTATAAGTGGGGCTATAAGTCCCCAAATATGGGTTTTAAGTATAGTTATCCTACTTATAACCCTACTTGTAGCTACCCATGACCCTCCAAGTAATATTAGATTCTTATGTGGCTTCCAACAGACCAGCCTTCAGCTGCTACCATCAGTAATTAAGTAGTCAGCTCTTCCTTTACAGAAGAGGACTGGGGCCCCATAGCAGGGACAACTGAGCAACCCTATAGGGCCCCGAATAGGGGAGTCTACTTTCAAGACTCAGAGAGGAAGTAACCCAGAGACTCCAACATCCCTTAATTGAGGAATATTCCTTAAATCATATTAGGGACCCTACTATAATTTAAGGTATATTCCTCAATTAAGGGATGTTGGAGTCTCTGGGAAGGACTCTGGGCCTGGGGTTTAAGGATATCACACCTTACCTTACCCTACAGACTTTTTGTAGGTTCTGATTGGAAATTGAAGGGACCCTACTCCGAAACGTCTTGGTAGGCTAGAATAAACCCTAAACCCTAACATAGAGGGCCGAAATCTTTTTGCAGGGGCTCCTAATGAGGATTATAGTATAGTCTACCCCAAAGCCCTGTTCTAATTATTAAGGCCCCTAGAAGGGGAGTCCTTTGAAGCTTTAAGGCCCTGCTTTGCGGAATCCCTAGCTACCAGTTGTTGCTCGCAGGGCACCCCGACTTAGTAAGTAGTTGCTTCATAGCGTTGTACGGTTGATGATACAAATCCTGCATGGCCTTAAGGACCCTAAACTATGGGAATTCTAGTATATTTCTTATTTTGGGTCATGCAGGATTTATATCATCAACCGTATGTACCATAATCTCAACTCCGGGACCTTTTAGCGTACTTTTTCCCCTGTAAAGTAACTCTACGTACTAAGTTTCCCCGCACTCCTAGTAAGCCTAAGCAGACTGCACTTCGAAGCTTCAGTGACTGGGATTCCCAATTACCTACCCTAACCCCCCGCCCCCAATACCTTCCTTTTCGGTGTTCCTTATTGTATATAGACGTCCTTAAACATCTACTTTTTTTGGATCTCTTAAAGGAGCCCCGTACATATTAAAAGAGCCCTTAAAGTGGCGCAGCGGGCTCCCTTTTTTGGTATAAAATAGGGGCCTTAATCAGTAGAATAGGATTTTGGGGCCCATCATACTAGAATTATAGTAGGAAGTCCCCAAACTTACGGCCCCCCCCCTATACAGTAGAAGCCAGAAAGTTGGAATATAATTATCGTAACCCCTTTAAGGTAAATTATAGGGGATCCTACCAGTAATCCATTTTCCAACTTTCGGGAGTTCCCGCCTTGTCCTTTTTGGGGAAATTGACAGGGCCCTGTACCCTAGTCCTTTAATAAGAAGCCCTTAAAGAAGGTACCTTAACCGATCTGTCTATTCTTTCTTAGGGGACCATAACAAAGGACAACAGTGCCCTATAGTAGGGAAGCTGTAGAAGGAACCGCAAAAAGGAAAAAGGCCTACTTGGAGGGTCTTTAGGGGACTTAGTAAGTAGGGGCTCCTTTAAAGGGGATTCTAAGGGTTCCTTTAAAGGGCTCTATAAAGGGTACTATAGGGTTTAGGGTTCAGGGACTTAGTAAGTAGGTAGTAAGTAGACTTATAAGTACCCTAACAGGGACCCTAATTGGGGTTATGGTACTTATAAGTCCCGTAAATAACCAGTTACTAAGTCCCTCCAAGTAAAGCCAGGTTGAGGCTTTATTTAGGGTTTAAGGGTTTGGGATTTAGGGTTGAGGCTTTAGGGTTTAGGGTTTAGGTTTACGGGTTTGGGATTTAGGGTTGAGGCTTTATTGATTGCGGCAGATCCAGAAAATCGAAACTCAAACAACGTCCCAAACTAGGTTGAGGATGCTATCATTTCCACCTTTCAGGTAGACTGTCTGCAGTGCCTACGAAGACCCCCCGATGAAGCCCTTCAAAAACCTACTTGGAGGTTCATGGGTAGTTATATGTCGGGTTATATGTAGGATAACTAACCCATATTGGGAAACTTATAATCCCACTTCTAGCTGCCCATGAACCTCCAAGTACAGCTTTACAATAGCCTAAGGGACGAGTGCATTGTGTTTTGTCAATTTGTTCTGCACAGGGACCGGCTCGATTCTTCGGACAAAAGTACTCGATTTGGGAGTGATGGGCATGTCGCTTCAACACACGGGTAAGAGTTGAGGGGGCTTAGGCTTAAAAGTTTGGGTTATATGGTTGGTTGTCAAAATTAGGGTCCCTTTTTGGGCACCCTAAATAATAGGTGCCGTATTATATTAAGGACCCAAGCAGGGACCCTAATTTTGACAATCACCCATATAGGTTTAGGCCAGCTTAGGCTCTAATACAGGGATCCTCCGTAATCATTAGAGTAGTGTTTCGGTGTATGTTATATATACTGGCCCTTGTAAGAGATATCCGACTTGTTAGGGTCGATGCGGGGGTCACTGAGCAGCGAAGAATACCGTTGGGTTTAGGGCTTAGGGTTTTTGGTTCAGGGTTTTGGGTTCAGGGCTCAGGGGTTTTAGTTTTTGGTTTAGGGTTTTGGGTTTAGGGCTTAGGGTTTTGGGTTTAGGGTTTTGGGCTTAGGGCTTAAAGCTTAGAGTTTAAAGTCCCCCGATTCTGAAACCCCTGGAACCCACAATCCACACATCCGACAAATCTTCGGTTAGGAATCCTCTGCACCCTGGGAGATCAAGTTTAAAGATTCCCGGTTCTAGGTTTCAAGCAGTCCAGCTCGAGGCGGGTGTTTGTCCTGAGGTAGAAGGTACGGTAAATGGGGCTCCTCAGACCTTCCAATATCCCTGAATGAAGGAATATGCTTTAAACTATAAGAGTACCCCCCACACGATTTGAGGTATATTCCTTGATTCCCTTTTAGAACCCTTATAGATCCCTTGAAAGGAACCCTAAAGCATCCCCCTCCATTAAGGGGGCATTGGAAGTTCACGGTCTCTGGGAAGCCCACGGGATCGACTTCCTTGCTACTTGAGTGGTTGTCAAAACTATAGCCCCTTTTTGGGGTACCCTCGATCCATAAGGGTTCCAAAAGGGAATCAATTAATATACCTCAAATCGTATGGGGGGAACTACTCTTATAATAAGTGCCGCATTATCTCTGACCGACAGATGTCCGTGAATAATAGGGACCCAAAAAGGGACCATAATTGTGACAACCGCCCACTTGCCCTGTAGGCCTCGCTTGCGCAACGTGGCCATGAAGGAAGCCTCGTCTTGAAGGATCTTTGGGATTCAGGGTTTAGGGCTTTACTTGGAGGTTCATGGGACTTAATGAGTGCAGTTATAAGTACCTTAACTGGGGAGAAAACCAAATATAAGTACAGTTACCTTATTTATAACCCTAGTTACTAAGTACCATGAACTTCTAAGTAGGGTTTAGGGGTTTGGGTTTTCTTTTTTTTTGAACCCTCTTTTCTCCCTGCCTGAGTTAGGTGGGTGGAATACCACCGGTGGCTGAGGGGTGTTGAGGAACCTGCACGGAATACACATACCCCACTCACATAACTAGTTCAGACCTCAACATACAACAAAGTCCCCATGACGCCGGTGAGGTCGTATGGCTTTATGACGGGCTTCGCCACATCGTCCGTCACCCAAGGCGATCGCGCCTGCCATGTCTGCATTCCTGCCAGTGAACAACTCCATGTCTGGCATGTACTCAGCCTCTGGCGGCGCGGTGAGCATCCTCATCTCATTTGACACAGATTCGCGTTTTGCGCGTATCTGTGCAACCGTGGCTGTCTTGTCAATCGAAAAACTTGGTACACTTCTCGATTTGGGGGTTTGGGGTTTAGGGTTTGGGGTTCAGGGTTTAGGGGTTAGGGTTTAGGGGTTTAGGGTTTAGGGTTTAAGGCTTTAGGGGATATGGGCTTTGAAGGGATCTTGCTTCCCATGGGCTTTAAAGGGGTTTAGGGGCTTCTGGGATCTTCGAGGATTGAGGCTTTAGGGCCTAGGGATGGATTTTACAGGGGCTTCCCAGAGAGCCCAATAATTAAGGAATAAGGGTTCCTTAACGGGATCTATAGGGGTTCGAAAAGGGAATTAAGGAATATGGCTTAAATTTTATAGGGCTTCATGTTATGAATTAAGCTATATTCTATAATTAAGGGGTATTGGGCTCTCTGGGTTACTACTATTTGCTTAAGAACCACCCAAAAAATAAAAAATATATTCCTTATAGGGATAATATAGGGATTATATATTTTTTTTTGGGGGGGGACCTAGCAAGGGGTGGCAAGGGTCGACAGCCAAGTAGCAGGAAGCAGCCCTAAACCCTGAGTCCTGTAGCCAAAACCTTAAATCTCAACCCTAAACGGTATATAAGCCGTCCATAAACAAGGTCCTGAAGAGATATGGGAGTTTCTGAAATTTTTGGACCCTAATATAGTACCCTAAATAGAAGGATCCTTTTTACAAGGACTCCAAAATAAGGTACCCCTAATTTTCGGAAACTCTAAACCCTAAACCTTTATACAACCCTTATAGATCCCTTTAAAGGAATCCTTATGGAATAAGGTACCCCATTTTCGGAGACTCCCTTTTTGGAGTCCATGTCTTACCAGACTGAAAAGGCCGCGCCTGCGCAGCCATGGAGAGGACGGCCGCCAGGCCGAAAAGCAACATGGCTCGCAGGGTTTAGGGTTTTAGAATTCAATTCTCTGAGGGATTGGGTTTAGGTTTAGGGTTTAGGGTTCAACCTTTCAGGGGTTTAGGGCTTAGGGTTTTAAAGCTGTTATTTCGAGCTCTGAGAGGTTACGGCGTGTACGGGGGTGAGTGGGGGTTTAGTGGGCTTTTTGTAAGCTCTCGGGGTAAACCCCAAGCCCGGAACCATGTCTTGTGGAGTTACGCCAACTGAAAGCTATTCCTGACATCATGGCAAGAACCCCTCTATTAGTCTATATGGGAGTTTCCGAAAATAGGGGTACCTTAGTTTGGGGTCCTTCTATATAATAAGGGTCCTACTATTTGGGTACTATATTAGGGTCCCCTGTTTTCGGAAACTCTCATATAATAGTTATATGGGTAGTTGTCAACATTATGGTCCCTTTTTGGGTCCCTATCACTTTAATATGGCAGCTAATATTTAGGGTACCCAACTTGGGAATATTGAGAAGCACCAATATAGTAGTTTGAGCTACAGTATAACCTGCGGTTGCTGCTCGAGGCGTGCCCAGCAGGCGCAAACAAACTTTGGCGGCGTTTCGGAAGTTAGTGCGGGAACCTGAACCTTGGTCCTTTATTAGGGTTCCTTGTATGAATCCTACTATTTGGGGGTTATACAGTAGAAGCCAGAAAGTTGGAATATAATTATCGTAACCCCTTTAAAGTATATTATAGGGGATCCTACCATTAATCCATATTCCAACTTTCTGGAGTTCCCTTTAGGCCCAGGGTTTCTTGATCAGGTTCCTACATTAGTGCTTTGGGGGCTCTGGGCTCCTTGGCTTAGTGCTTTGGGGGCTTTAGGGGTTTGGCGGCCGGTGGGTTTTTAATTTAGGGGTTCCTCGCCCAACAGCTGAACCCTAAAGTCTAAACTCTAAATTCTAATCCCCTACCTTAACCTACAAACCCTACTTCTTTGTAGGGTCCCTATAAACTCCTTATTAGGGTTTATAATAAGAACCTACGACGAAAATCCGTGGTGTGCTTTTCGTGTGTGTTGTCTGCTTCTTTTGCCGGGGGAAGGGAGGGATCCTTGCACTGACAATCCCGCTATTTGGGCTCTCCCACATTGCTATAAAATTCGATGGATATCATGGCAACAAGCTCTTTAAAATTGCAACACCGACCTCATTGTCGAGAGGCTTCATGCACAAGAGTGAATACCAAGTCTCCCCTTAATGTTGGGTATGCTTAGGAATATGATTACTGCTCTGCACTTCAAGGGCCTCCCAATTTGCGAACATAGGTGCCTTGTAATACCTTATAAGACCATGACGAGAACTCCAAAAGTCCCCACAAGTCGCGACCTGGATCAGCACTACGGTTGATGATATCAACCCTGCAAAACCCATGAAAAGGAATACCTGAACCCCAGATAACCTGCTCTTTTACGGACTGATAGAAGGAAATCAAAATAAGGGACCCTAAAAGCTATATAGAGCCTCACATCATGGTTTAAGCCATATTCCTTAATTGAGGGGTATTGGGCTCTCTGGGTCGGTTCTTTGGGACCCCAGGTCCACCATAATCCCCATAGTCCGGGGTCATCACTTGGAGGGTCGGAGGACTTAGTAACTAGGGTTTAGGGTTTAGGGGTTTAGGGTTTAGGGTTTGGTTATTTTAGGGACTTATAAGTACCATAATTTAATTAGGGTCCCTTTTAGGGTACTTATAAGTCTACTTACTACCTACTTACTACCCTCCAAGCAAGGTAATGCAGGAATTCTATTATCAGCAGTAGGACTAGGATCCCCCGGTAGCCCGGGCTCCCTTTTGGGTACTGTACAGCTTCATAAGGAACCTAGACCACAAAAAAGGAAAAAGGGTCCACTGATAGACCACGACTGGGTGCTTTTTTAGGAATTTAGATTAACTTGCCGTAATAGGAACCTATGGTAAATAATACGGCTTCCTTATTATGGGAACTAAATGAATACCCTTAACAAGGACCCAGAAAAGGGCCCACAGGGAGACCAACCCCCTAAACCCCAAACCCCTAAACCCTGAACCCCTAAACCCCTAACCCCTAAACCCCAAACCCCTAAACCCTAAACCGCTAAACCCCTAACCCCTAAACCCCGAAACCCCTAAACCCCTGAACCCCTAAACCCCTAATCCCTAAACCCCAAAGGCTCCTCCCCCGAGGCTTCGGCTTATCTGGCTTCCATGCACTGAAACGGGAACGGATGACGTCGCTGATGCGGGCCTTCCCTGTAAGCTGGTTGACCTGTTCAGCACAGGCGTTTTAGAGTTCAGGGTTTAGGGGTTTAGGGCTTATGGTTTCTAGACGTTTGAGTTTGGGGCGTCAGGGTTCAGGGTCAGGGTCTGTGAGCTGTTTGACATGCATTCGTGGTGAAGGCATTTTTGACATGGAGTCATGGAGAAACTCCGGGTATGTATGGCTGTCAACCTCCGTTTCCACTCTAAATCTCTTCAGCCGAAAGTGTTACAGTACACCACATTCACAACACCCTGCGTGAAACACGCATCACAAGGCTGATGTAACTTGAACGGGTGCATCCTACACTACACACACAGCCCAGTCTTGGACCTTGAATCCCTTACCGTCCACTATCAACCCCAATATGGCGGCCTGAACGATTGCAAACTCTATTCCTCAGGGTTCTTTGTGTAGTTTTACTAGAACTAACCTCAAGACCCTCTTAAAGATCCGCATATTCAACCCTCATCCTACACCCTTCAAGCCCCCAACAGGGCCGGCCTGCGTTTCGTAGATCAGCGGGGTGCTGCGTCCCGCGATAGAAGCTCCAGTTCCTCTGTTTCGGAAGATTCGGGTCGAGGGTTTGCAGTTTAGGGTCTAGGTTAGGGCCAAGGGCTTCGGGTTTATGGTTTACGGTCTAGGAGTGCGGGTTTTGGGTTGAAGGTCAAGGACCAACAGTTAAACCAAATGAAATAAGAGCAAAGACTGACCCCAATGTATAAATAAACTAGTTGTAAGCCCAGATCAAATCCTGCTGTTTGAAATTGGAAGAAACCGTGCAGTCTTTACGTTCCTTTCATCCCTTTTCCTTTTACCCTTCATATTTGCTGATGCATTGCTAAGGTTAAAGAAGTCACTCCAGGATATAGTGGTTTATTTCTCCCTTTGGAAGCAGCCTAAAATCCTAACGTAAAGATGAATGTAGTGAGCCCAAAAGGTTAAGTTTAGACTAATTAAAACACTGCAATGAAAGAAGCGCAGGGAAGAGAATAAAAGCGTGTTGTTTTAATTTAATCTTTTGCTCTCTTTATTTTGTACATCGAGTTCTTTGTCTTTCACTTAACCCTTTCATGTGGGTTACTACGGTTACGATGTATACTCTTATTCTAATACCACAAACCTTATGGACTTGTATTACTATAATAGTGTTAGGGGCCCAGGGTTTAGGGTTTAGGGCGCAGTGTTCAGGGTATGTTACGCGGCTTCGAATCAAACACATGGGAACTCCCCAAAACCCAAGGCCACGCAACACCTTACGACACATCCAACTCACCAGCAAAAACGGCAAGGCGCAAAAGTGCAAGAGGGTTTAGCTAAGTTCCTGAGTATCCCCTTAATCATAAGGGTACCAATTTTCCAAAATACTCGCCTTAATGAGGAGACCCCAAACTAAAGAAGTGCAAAACGACACTGCTCAGGAACCTAGCTCAGCTTGACTTTAAAATCTCCACAAGTAGGGACCCAAAAGGCGCATAAGCATAAGCATTTTGTAGGGATACCCCTACCTTATTGGGCTTAATCATAAGGGAGTTTATATATGAGCAGGGGTTGCGGTTATGGGTTTAGCATCAGCCGAAGCACGGCTCATCTGCGACCGCTGGCTACCACTGCCGCTGCCACCTAATCTTACCGTTGGTTAGTAGGGAATGGAAGAATGGTAGCAAAAGAACTTATAATTGTACCCCATTCCTCCATTCCCTCCTAACCAACGGTAAGTTGTGGGACGCATTGAGTCCCCAGGGAGCCCGGTAGTCCTCTCGTTATAGATCCCTTTAAGGCGCCCCTTTGAGGAGGGCTCAGGGTTCCCAGAGAGCCCAGAAGCCCTGAATAAAGGAATATAGCTTGCATCATAATATGAAGCCCTATATGGGAGTTTCCGAAAATAGGGGTACCTTATGTAGCGGTCCTTATAATAAGGATCCTACTATTTAGGGTCCTATATTAGGGTCCCCTATTTTCGGAAGCCCACATAATTTGAGCCATATTCCTGAATCAAGGGGTATTGGGTTCTCTGGGTCTCTGAATAGCCCCAGCAGTCCAGAGTGCAATAGCACAGGCTTCAGGGCGTTGAAGTGTAGGCTTGTGCGTGGCTTACATTACTATCTTGACTCTGTAAAGCCTCTTGAAAGCGTTCGCTCATAAAGACCTCTGAAGCCAAAGAAGGGAAACAATCAAATGGCTCAAAGGCCTAATAACCTAGATAATATAGGGGCCTTAATGGTCAGAATCGGGTTTTGGGGCCCTATATACTACAGTACCCTGTAGTAAGGTTTCAGGCAGTTTTGGAGCTTGTGAGGTTCAGGTCTTCAGGTCTGGGCTTCAACTTCAGGAGTATACCATAGGGGCCTTAATAATTAGACTGGGGTTTTGTGGCCCATGACACTACAACTATAATACGGAACCTCCAAAATAGTAGAGGTACTTATTTTGGCCCCGATATTACCCTAAAGCCTCAAGCAGCTCAGCCCTAACTTTTCTGCCGACACCAAAATCCGAAAAACCCTGAGTTCATAAACCCTTGAGCCCCAAAACCTACTCGCCCAGTGCTGCTGACGTTTCTGGATGATGGTGGAAGTGCACTACCCCTGCGACTGGACTACCAAGTAAAGACAATCCAATTCTAATCACAAACCCTGGCCATAAACCTAAAATACCTACGCAAACCCCAAATCCCCAAAACCCTACACACTAAAAGCCACCGGACCCTAAAATCCAAAACCCCCGAAACCCGACACCCTAA